TATGTAAATTGCAAAAACGCATATTGGGAAGAGGCTGTGTGTGTGTGTGCGTGTGTGTGTGTGCGTGTGTGTGTGTCTGTGTGTTAGCGTGTTCGCATTTTTTGTCACCCACTTTCAACTCGAGGACCAGAAAAGCTAGAAGGCTGAAACTTTAAGGATATGTGTCCATACCATGCGCGACCCTCCCGTTTCAATTTCATCCCCCTTGGAAGCCTGAGTGCCGCGTACAGAAGCCTCAAAAAAATATGCAAATTTTTTGGCGGAAAAGCGATCTCGGGAACCAGATGAGCTAAGGGCTGGAACTTTGTAGGGATATTCCCTGTGCATGTACTAGCCAAAGGTTTCAAATTCGGTCCCCAGGTGTGCGTGGTACTCACGTAGAGACGTATGGAAGTTTCAGGGGGGAAATTGCCAACTCGGGAACCAGGAAAGCTAGAAAGCTGAAATTGTGAGGGAATGTTCCCCATCCAAGTACAACTCAAATATTTCAAAATCATCCCCAAGCTGTGCATTGTACTCACGTAAGGCTGCAGGAAAATTGCTAATTCGGCAATCAGAAGAACTGGAAGGCTGAAATTTTAGGCGGATATTCCCTGCTCAAGTGCAATTTAAAAATTTCATATTCAGCTTTCCAAGCACGTGGAGTACCCAAGTATGGGTATGTGAAGGTTTTAGCGGAAAAACTACTAACTCGGTGACCAGAAAAGCTGGAAAGCTGAAATCTTGAGGGAGTGTTCCCTGTCCAAGTACAACTTAAGTATTTCAAATTCAGCCTGCGTTGTCCTTACGTACGGTCACTTAACGTCTTGACGAAAAAATTTCTCACTGAACAACTAGGTAACTTTTAAAGGACGACTGTTAAATGGAAATAGTATGTTTACTTTGCAAAATTTATAGTGATTTATGCTGGTGACCGCAACAGGTAGGTGTAAAGCAACAGCCATTCGTACAGTTAATGATCTGAGTAATTCTAGTCCAGTGCAAAAACGCATGATCGCAGTGGCCAGCCCGGTGCGTTCCAGCCCTGGTTTACTCCTGTTTGGTTTTGAATTTCACGACATTTTCTTTTCCACATGGTGGCTAGAGGGCTATACTGATGATTACCATTCCTAACCGCAGCTCACACTATTTGTGTTTGTAGCTTAGGGGTGAAACACAGCCAGAAACTTTTATTTCTTACATGTCATACGGTTTTAACCATATTAAGCACCTCACTATTTTCTCTACCATATTTCACCAACTAATTTTTCCCTTCTCTCGTTAAAAATTTTTTCCGGGATTTGGCCGTTCTTTGTTTTCCACGGCTTGGATTGGCCGTTGTTTCACAATTTTTGGTTCGACTTATCAAAGCCCGAAAAAAACTTTTCAAATTTCACTCGGTCTGGCCGCCTCACCTGGACCGTCCATTATCCCTTACGTTAGTTTAACACCTCTAGATTTCTACAGCTTCATAAGTTTTTGACCGACATATTTTATGCTGACACGCATGGTACTGGGGTCTTTATTACCAACTTTCGTCTACCGCAGCGCTGACATCCCTGTTTGGGATGATCACTTCATGGTTGGGCTTCCATGGCGTCTTCTGCCCCTTCTATTCCCTCCACTATTCACTTTTATGATGTTATCATTGGGATTGGTTGTGATAAAGCAGAAACACTGATGAAGTAATGCTAAAGTTATAAGTGGCATGCTTTTTATCCTAGCGTGGGTATCTGCTGTTGTAATAGACCGTTAGAGAAGTCCAGCTGGCGAATGAGTCGCAATGCATACGGGAATTTATCATGACGATCAAAAATCAAAACAAGTGAATCCAACATCAATTGTGTGAATAAATTAAATAATAGCAAGCAGATCACTCATCCAAAAATATTGCATAGCGTTAAGGCTGACATTTTACAGAAATCTATTGGAGATCCTTTCATTGATCCATAACTGATCAATACCTTGGTAACGAGACAGTTTTCTTCTTTTTGGGCTTTCCTCATCCACATAATTCCATCAAGTCATCTAAGCGGGTCGTTCGATCCAGTACAGACCAGACAAGGAAGGAATTCTCGGATAAGCAGATGGATTAATCAAACACAAATCAGAAAAAGAAGGGGTTCTTGAACGCAGGAAATAATTTTTCATGGACGATTCAAAAAAGCAAAAAGGCAGTAAAGCTAAATATCACAGATCCGAACAACAAACAATAAAATCATTGGAAATCCCTCACAACAGTTGACAAATGTAATCACTACCACATCCGTGATCGTTTCCCGCTGCATTTATCAATTTGCCGTTCTCGTCTGCTTACTGATAGGCAAGCACTTCCC